AGATGTATAATTCAATCTCAAATTTAGCTTGAACGTCAAAGAGTGATATTATTTTCGAGGAAGCTTTGATAACAGATAAAATCGTGAATGAAATTTCTTGGAGTCGAGTTGATCATAAAACTCCTGTTATTGGATATGACTTTGAGTCCATTCATAACGACTATCAAAGTTGTTTCGTTAGTGTAACCCTCTTCTTACAAAGCCTCGCTATTATTAACGAGTCGTGTATGCTCGTTGACTAACTCTTCACACGTGTTTTTAGTGAGAAAGCAACAAATCCACGATGAACTTTTTACCTTCAATTTGAGCTCTTAGTGTGTTGTCAATGTTAGACGAACACGACTCTCCACAATGGGCATAAGCTCTCATGGTTTTGCTTTCGGCTTCCCAAAAGGCCTCACACCAATGAAGAGTGTATTCTTAGATTATAAACCCCATGATCATTCCCTAAATTAACCGATGTGGGACTTTCATCATCCAACAGTCAATAGTTAGGTTTTATCTTTGACTCGATCGAGGTGGGGTTAGCCTTGACTTTGGATTTGACTTCTCGGGTCGTGACTAATAAGACGGTAGATTTTGACTTTTCGATTGACTAGGTATGTTTTATTGTTTGTCACGTTACTTTCTTAGTTTTCAATATTTCATCATCTTTCCTCTGTTTTTATATCGAAGATTTGAGTATTGATGTCATATGATGTAGGATGTAGCGAACATTTTTAATGTTTCTTTTTTTAGAAAGACCAGATAATTTCAGTTTTAAAATTTTATGAGTATTTAATACTATTTTTTAATTTTTTTTATAAAATTTTAAAGATTTTTTTGAAATAAATTCAAATGAATAGTATCACTATTTTTTTTTTATATATTTTTAAAAGTTATATATATATATATATATATTTTTTTTTCTTTTTTTTTTTAATTTAGCTAAAAAAAAAAACCACNTGAAGAATCCGTCGACGGTTCGGTTCAGTTTGATTCTGCTCCGATCTGAGAGGGATGGTCTAAGGAGAGAGAGAGAGAGAGAGAGCGGTCTGTAATATCCAGAATTTCAAAAAGTAGAGTGACAGACGAACGAAGGCGAAGATGGCAGCGAGGCAAATGGAAGAGATTCAGAAGAAGCTGTCAACGCTCAATTACCCTAGAGCCAATGCTCCTGCTCAGTCCCTCCTTTTCGCCGGCATGGAGCGCTATGCTCTTCTCGAGTGGCTCTTCTTCCGGTATTGTTGATTACTTTCTGCAAATCTTTCAATTAACTACTTCAAACTACTCGAATTGCATTTCTAAGCCTTTGATTTCGGAGCTTAGTCATTCACCAGACAATCGAATGTTTGATGGCTTATTGCATTGCGTTCTTAAATTGTAGTTTGTTGGGTGATAAGTCGCCGTTCTCGCAACAAAATATCCAAGGAGATGCTATTGATCGCGATGAAGAGACTGGTCGCATTCAGTGTTAGTTTTCTCATTTCATGCTTCACGATTATATGGTTGCACGGATACTATTTAGGATCAATTCAAATTTGTGCCACTGGTTAATCAAATTACGTGGATGCTCGTTAACCTTTATGCTTTAGAGTGATTAGTTTCATAGATCGGGCTGCCCTTTTTGTGAAAGTAGGCTGGTCTGGCTTAAAAAATAATCCAATTTTTCTTCAGCATGTTAAAATTCCCGTGCATCTACTGCCAAAGCCACAAGGTTTTCTTGCATAATCGTTCAGTGATCGCTCTTTTATCTTGCCGCCCCACATGATGTATGATATGGGATTTTTTTTAAAATTTATTGTTGCTTTATTTTCATGCTGTTGTTCACATTTAAATTGTGGTACTGATTTTTTCTATATCATTATATCAATAACCGTGTTATAACCAATGTTTGTATTCTGCAGATTTAGCAGAAATCGCGAAGTTTCTGGGCATTACAACCAGTATTGATACTGAAGTTATCCAAGTTCGTTTTCTGAATTGCTTCTACTATTTCTATGAGTAAAATAAATTGAAGCTATCCGTCTGTATTGACTGTAGATTTTGGACTAAACTCACTATTTAAGTAACCTGTCTCAATTATTCATACCAATCCATGATGCATTGTATTTCTTTCACAATGTAATGTGCAAGGAGGGGGTCTATACACACCCATGTATGCAACAACACTAATATCATTGCCCTCTGTCTGAGTTTTCAGAGCCACAATTGTGTAATTTATAAAGCATTTAAGTGATCTGTATCCACTTGATTACAGATTTTGTAAACATTTTCACCGTATGAATGTGCTTGACATCTTGTTAACTCCTCTTGACTTTTCAGGGACGGGGAAGCTATGAGGAGAGAACTGAAATGATTCGTCTTATTGTCGATCTTGTTGAGGCAAGCATCTATGCAGATAATCCAGATTGGAGGTTGCCATTTGTTTAGCTTGTATTGGTAATATTATTCAATCCTCTGATAAATGAGCAAGAATCTTGGAAATTAATGTTTTTTCATTAATTTTTCTGCAGTGTTGATGAGCAAGTTGCCAAAGACATACAACTCATTGACTCTATTGCCGAGAAACAGGCTCAAATATTCTCAGAAGAATGCAAATTGTTTCCTGCTGATGTTCAAATTCAGTCTATATATCCATTGTAATGATCCTCCTACATCAATCTATGTCTACTGATTTTTTTTCTTTGTATTGTTAACGTGAGATCCCACATTGGGTTAGAGAGGGGAACAAAACATTACTTATAAGGACGTGGAAACCTCTCCCTAGCAAATGCGTTTTAAAACCTTGAGGGAAAACCCGAAAGAGAGCCCAAAGAGGACAATATCTACTAGCGATGGGCTTGGGCTTGGGCTGTTACAAATGGTATCAGGGCCAGGTTCTGAACGGTGTGCCAGCGAGGATGTTGGCCCCCAAGGGGGTGGATTGTGAGATCCCACATTGGTTGGAGTGGGAAACGAAACATTTCTTATAAGGGTGTGAAAACCTCTCCCTAGCATACGCGTTTTTAAATCTTGAGGGGAAGTCTGAAAGGGAAAGTCCAAAGAAGACAATATCTGCAAGCGGTGGACTTGAGCTGTTACAGTTAATTCTTTTTGCATATCCAAACGCTAAGTAGAGACCTGCCTTTCTCTTCTTCTGATAGTTCAAAATACTCCAAACATTGTCAGTTTGAGCTAAGATCTGCCCATTTCTTTATTTTGGTTCATTTTGTTAATATGCCAATTTCATTATTTTTTCTTATCATAAACAATATGTAAACCTGCCAACTACTGTCATACCCGTACACTGTTCTAATGATCCATGTTCATCTGGTTTAGGGAATTTTAATACCCCCCTCTTTTGAGGAAGCTGTCTCAACTTAATTATATGAAAGATAGTGCTTGCAAATGCTGTTCTGCTAGTTTAAGCTCTTATTGATTAAAACATTTTAGTTTTAACTCTAAATTGCTAGTTATTATTATATGATATACCATAATTTTGGTGTGGAATCTCAGAGGTCAATCTTTTAATCTATTTGATTTCATGTTATAGCATTTTGTTGCCTAATTGAGTTATTTTCTTCTTTTTTTTTTCCTTCCAGGCCAGATGTTTCTGAGCTGGAAACCAAGCTTGCAGAACAATCGAAGATACTTTTGAATCTTCAACAGAAAGTTGATGATTTAGCATCAAAGGTTTTTGCTACTTTCTGTCAAATTTTCTCACCTTAAGGAAAAATTGTCCCTGCTGTTATTCTCATATGGGAACTGCTCTGCAGATGCAGTATTTTGTTCAAGAAACATCACTTAATTTTCAGCACGTCTTAATAAATAAAAACGAATTAGGAAAAATATGGCCACTTATGTAATCGATTGTCAATTTGACCAAAATATAGTTGGTCAGGTTGTTTTTTAACCAGTTTTTCAGTTTTTTGGTTTGTCGGGCGATCGTGAATGTGAGTTATTGCCTCTTTTTCCCCAACTTCTTTCTGTCTTTTTGCTGCTCCGATCTTTCCAATCTGCAATATGATAGATTGGTTATTGCAGACAAAAATATTATGTTTTAATTTTTATTTAGATTTGAGGTGGTAGTTTTGTGGTATAGTATTAAATCTAGAAAGATTTATTTTAAATGTTGCTTCTTTTGATGCCTTGTGATTAGTATTATGTTACTTTTGTAGCATGCTTACAACCCAGATGAGGAATATACGGAAGTCGAGTCTCAATTGCGTTCACACCTGGAATCTTTTCTTGAAACAGCAAGATCTTTCAACATTATTTACACCAAGGTTTGTCTTAATTTAGTGGAATCTTATCTGATATCATCTTCTACTATTGTCGGAGTCTTTGTAACAACCCAAGCCCACCGCTAGAAGATATTGTCTATTTTGACCCATTACGTATCATCATCAGCCTCATAATTTTAAAACGTGTCTACTATGGAGAGGGTCCAGCCCTACTTCAACCAGTACCTCGCACCGTTTGGTGACTGGCTCTGATACCATTTGTAACCGATCAAACCCACTGCTACTAGGCTTTGGCCCGTTACGTATCGTCGTCAACCTCACGGTTTTAAAACGCGTCTGCTAGGGAGAGGTTTCCACACTCTTATAAAGAATATTTCGTTCCTCTCTCCAACCGATGTGGGATCTCAGTCTTTATCCTTAAATTTTTTATGCACCAACTATCAAAATATTGGAGATCTACAACCAAAAGCACTCTGTTTCATGTTTTTGTTAATTATGTCAAGATTCACCTTGAAGAATAACTATTTGCTATCTGATCTACGTTTTCAAAAGCTGAATGTGGTCCGGTTTAAACTAGTATATGGTAGCCTAAGTGAATGTTTTTCTTTATTAAACACTTGAAAGTATTTTGATAGCTTTGAGTTGGAACTATGTTCATTTTTGCTATTGACTCTGATTATCACTTTTATGTTAGGAAATTCGTCCATGGACACACATGATGGAGGTTCCACAGCTTCATGGCTTTGGGCCAGCTGCCAACCGATTGTTGGAAGCATACAATATGCTACTAAAGGTATTCTTTGGCTAACTTTTTTTTTTTTTTTTTTTTTTTTTCATGTTGCTGATTCATTTATGTTCTTCATTATTGTTGCTACGAACCCATTTGAATTTATTATTGTGATATCACAAAGAGAAAATCAGATAAAACTACAAAAGAATTTGGATAATTTTGCATCAAGGGAAAGGCACGAAGTTCTGTTGTTTCTTTTTAAACAAAAAAATTCAAAGAAAGGGACTTGTTTTTTCGTAAGTCGGTCTGCTTTCCTCTTATATCATCGTTTTGAAATTCATTTTTCATTTCATATTCTTGTTATGGCAGTTCTTGGGCAACTTGAGGAATCTTAGAGATTCTCATGCAGCACTGGCCATTGGATCATCTGAAACGATTGCTGGAGAGCCATCTTCTGTGACAAGAATAATATCCGAGTGCGAGTCTGCATTGACATTCCTAAATCGCGATCTTGGCATTCTCTCTGCTTCCATCGCTCGTGAACGTGGCCAGCAGGGCGAAGAGGTGACTTTATGATAAATACAAGTGTAATAGAGCTTCTTGCACTTGCAATTCGGATGAGCGTGCAGTCGTGAGTCGTGATTACTGATTTCAGATAACATAAACCAAGAGTGTAGTCACACGAAAACGATTTGCTGTATGCCATTCCACATAATTATATCATTGTGTGATTAGTGTGGTACCTAGAAACTGACTGCGATTGCTGTTTATTCATAGGGAAAAAATTTTCATCACATGACATCCTATGTATCTCTACTGAGTGGCTGTAGCAAATTTAAAGGGCGTATCTAACTGGGATTTCCATTCCTTTTACTGTAGATTGTAAGATATCAACTTGTCTCTTTCACGCTGTACCCTGATATTCTCCAGGTTTTTTGGAGCATTCTCAATCCAAACATTCCCTCGAACATGTTTAGCTTTTCCGATCCTCGAGAACTGAAATGGGATTATTAGCCATCGAAATCGGGTAAGAAAATTCTCTGCTGGCTTGTTTATCATCAGTTCTGAACCCTTTGCCGATTTGTCTCATTACCGGGTTTTGTTCAGAGAAGCTATGAATCATGCTCGAATTGTTTCGTGTCGATTTCGTTTGGTTAATAGATGTAGAATTTGTGTTGGAAGTTGAACAAGTTGGACATCTTGGAGTTATTTTTGTTTGGTTGGATGGGAATGAGTTTCAGCCTTTCACCCCTCTCTTATGCTTGCCTACAACTTGTTATTCCTCTAGATATCAGTCCATAAAGCTTGCCTCTGCTCTATGGTGTAAGCATAACTAATTTTATAATAAATGATTTAATTTTTTTTTTTTTTTATAATAGATATAAAATTAATTAAATAATATAATTTTTAAAATTTGATTAATAACTCACTTGTACTCGCACACCCTTTTTTTTGTTCGATGATAATCGATATCTTATTTATCAAGACATTCTCATATTAACGATGTTATGATGTTATCAATGATGTTATGATGTTATCAATTAAGTTGTGAAGTATATATATATATATATTTTAAATACTCATAGATATATTTATTAATTATTTTTTCCTGCCAAGTGGCAAGCAAGATGTAATTTTGCAGGCGTACGAGATATTCATTTAATTTATGGGGTTTGGGCTTTACCCTGAATCGGATAAGAAATTTCCCTCCAAATCGGTGGGTCAGGGAGTTTTAGAGAAATTTATCTTTATTAGCTAAATGGAGTCGGGACGGGGATCATATTTTCCGTCTCTGCCTTCGACTCATCCAAATCCTTGCCTCATCTCACTTTTTATATATAAATATAAATATATATGTATATCAAAACTAAAAAAACAAAGCAAAACAAAACAGAAAGTATGTTGTAACAATGTATTTGAGTTTATAGAAATTATATTATATTTTTGCTAATTTTAATTGAATTTATTAAATGTTTTCTATTTGTTTAATAGAATTTATATTGAAAAAAATAGAATTTGAGCATTAAAAAAAAATCTGAATAGATTTTTTTTAAAAAAAATGTGTGTATATATATTAAAAAATGGAAAAAAAAAAAAAAAAAAGGAAAAAAAAGATCGGCCTGAGTTTAGTCTCGGCTAATTCCAGGGCAACTGGCCCAAATAGAAAAAACTAACCACAACAAACTTCCCTTGTGTTTCTAATGTCGAATTCTGCCGCCGATGAAACCGCCAAAATTCTGTTCCAATTTCAATAGTTCACCGGAAACTGCCCAAGAAGTGCTTCGTTCTTCACTACTTAAAGCTCTCTCTTCTGCCAAAAACACTTCCCAGCTTCGCGCTCTTCATTCCTGGATCATCATTTCAGGATTGGGCCTCTCCGTCGTTTTTTCTGGCAAACTCATAAGCAAATACGCTCAGCTTAAAGACCCGATTTCTTCTGTTTCAGTTTTTCGCACTGTTTCTCCAACTCGCAATGTCTATCAATGGAATTCGATTATACGTGCTCTCACTCGCAACGGTCTCTTCACACAAGCACTTGGATATTACACTGAGATGCGTGAAACAAAGCTCCAACCCGATGCTTATACTTTTCCTTCTGTTATCAATTCATGTGCCCGGCTTTTGGACTTGAAAATGGGTCGCGTTGTTCATGAACATGTCGAGGAAATGGGGTTTGAATCGGATCTGTATATTGGCAACGCATTGATTGATATGTATTGTAGATTTGGAGATCTTGAGAAGGCACGCTATATGTTTGATGAAATGTCTGACCGAGATAGCGTATCATGGAATAGTCTAATTTCAGGGTATTGTTCGAATGGGTTTTGGGAGGAGGCTCTTGACATGTATCACAAGTCCAGAATGAGTGGGATAGTGCCTGATTGTTTCACTATGTCCAGTGTTCTACTCGCATGTGGAAGCTTAACTGCCGTTGAAGAAGGTCTGAAGATTCATGGGGTGATTGAGAAGATTGGAATTGGTGGCGATATTGTGACCGGTAATGGACTTCTTTCCATGTATTTCAAGTTCGAGAGACCGAGAGAAACAGGTCGGGTTTTTGCCGAGATGGCTGCAAAGGACTCAGTTACTTGGAATACCATGATTTGTGGATACTCCCAACTGGGGTGGCACGAAGAATCCGTGAAGCTATTTATGGCGATGAAAGATGAATTCGCTCCGGATGTGTTGTCGGTTACATCGACCATTCGCGCCTGTGGGCACTTGGGAGATCTGAGGATTGGAAAGTATGTTCATAAGTACTTAATTGGGAGAGGGTATGAATGTGATACTGTAGCTTGTAATATCCTTATAGATATGTATGCTAAATGTGGGGATCTTTTGGCTGCACAGGAAGTCTTTGACACAATGAACTGCAAGGATTCTGTGACATGGAACTCATTAATCAACGGCTACATTCAAAGGGTCTATTACAAAGAGGGGGTGGAAAATTTTAAGATGATGAAAAGGGAAAGCAAGCCAGATTCTGTCACTTTTGTTCTGCTATTATCTCTATGTTCTCAGTTAGCTGATATAAGTCAGGGGAGAGGAATCCATTGTGATGTGATAAAATCTGGATTTGAAGATGAACTTATCATTGGCAATGCTCTTCTGGATATGTATGCTAAATGTGGTGGAATGGACGACTTATCGAAGGCGTTTTCGTATATGAGAGCTCGTGACATTATATCATGGAATACTCTTATTGCTTCAAGTGTTCATTTCGATGATTGCACTGTAGGATTTCGAGCAATTAACGAAATGAGGANTGTTTTAAAGCAAGTGATTGAGCAGCTCGGTTGAAGTGTTTTAAAGCAAGTGATTGAGCTGCCCAAAGTAGGTAGGATTATGAGAATGCACATAGAATACTACTAAGAAATCTTATATTGGTTGGAGAGAGGAACGAATTATTTCTTATAAGTTTGTGGAAACCTCTTCTTAACAGATGCGTTTTAAACTCGTGAGGCTGATGGTAATGTAACGGACCAAAGTAGACAATATCTACTAGCGGTGACGTTCATTCCTGCAGATTCCTGCACCGACAATGACTGCTTATGCCTTCTCATGCTGGCCTATGAATCAAATTCTGAAGGTTGGTCTTTCTTTCATTCCTTCTGATATCTCTTTCTACCAAGTGCTTAAAAATTTGAAGAAAAAAATTAAATCCATGAAATATATTTTTTATGCCAATGCTGATTGGGTCTTACAAATTTGAATCAATGACCCGAGCAATCTAGACCAACCCAACTCAATATTTTATGATAGAATAGGGTTATGTTGTTCAGTCAATAAGTGTTACTTAGGTTGAAAAAATTTACTCCTTGAACAATTTAGTTCGGTATAAAAATGTCTTAACCTAATTAAACTCAACCACCGAATACTCCTAGTTTTAATGGGGAGAATGAATATTCAAGAAACCATAAGATCAAATTCCATACGGAAAAAAACAAGGCAAAATGAAAATATCACAAACATTATTGCAAAGACATGATGATAGTAGGGTCGAGTTAACACTGCCCTTTAAACCAAACGTTAAGATCTTCCCTCATTCGACTACATTCAAGGGAATCTCCAATCACTACTTCTCCTATCCCGTGAGGTTTATTAGAGATCGGAGGAGATCAATTACGCTCATGCTTGTTTATTCATGAAAATTTGATGCATAGCTTTGAACTTGGTGACAAGTTGTTGTTTAGGAGGCCAATGTTGATTGATGATTGGGGCATTAGCAAATTCGTGAGTCCATTTAGACAAGAGGGGGAAGGTTTGTTGAGTTATGAGGCTAAGTCCAATCACTTCCTCCAACACACTTGGTAAGTTTGCAAGCCACCCAAGCGCAACATCCACAAACCCTATCACTTCCCCTCCAAAGAACCTCTTCCCCCCCGCCTTTAACTCTTCTTCCAAATGCTTCAAATTCTCCTTCGCTTCTTCTATCCCTTCCTCTTTCAACTTCCCTTCCTTCATAAACACTTTCTTCATTGATTCCCAAACCTACACATTAAAAAATAAATAATAAAATAATAAAATGTAAAATTAAGTATGCTAATTGATTTTAAAATATTATTTAATTTTTTTTTTTTTAAAAAAAAATACTCTTGACTGAAGCTTTAGTATCATAAATTGTATTAATATTTTTAAACTTTTTTATAATTTCTTATCGTTAGTATGCAGACCAAAACCGTTTATCTATACCCGTATATCATCTTTCTCCTCGATTTTCATTCTCTCATCTACTTCTGCTTATGATTCAATTATTTTTCTTTTTTCTTTTTCTCGGGATACCCTCTTAATTTCCTTCTTCAATCGCTTAATTTTATTTCCAAATTTTTATTTAGTATCGAAAATTTTAATAAAAATGAGAAATTGTTTCATTTACGAGCATTTCCAAAGATTAATATAATAAATTTTAACACTCAATTTCTAATTCAAGATAATTAAAAAAAAAAATGGCTATTTAAAATATAGATAAATGATTTATGTCTATAACTAATATAAAAAAATATTAATGAAATTTTAAAAGCTTAAGAGTATTATAATTAAGAGTATTTTTATAGAGATTTTGAAAGTTTAGTAATATTATTTTGGATAAAGTAAAAAATTTGTGTGTTTATTTATTTATTTATTTAGTTAGTTATATATATGTGTGTACGGAATTACCTTATCGTCCCCAAATTTGGCCCAAAAGCGAGCAAGGGCTCTCTGGTAAGGATCCTGAGGCAGCAATGGATTTTGGTTCCATATTTCATCGATGTATTCGAGGATGACGAGCGATTCGGCGATCGGCTTTCCGCCATGGACGAGCACCGGAACCTTCTTGTGAATCGGATTATACTCCAAAAGCGACGAACTCTTGTTGGCCAGATCTTCGTAAACGGTGTCGTATTCTATTCCTTTCAACTTCAACGCCCATACTATTCTCAGAGCGAATGGACTCGACCACGTTCTGAACAGCTTCACTTCTCCTTCTTCTTCTTCCATCTTTCTTTCTCTTCTCCGCTTCTTCTGCTCTGCCCCCTTTTTAAGCACCACAGTTCGTTACGTCTTTGTGAAATTACTCCTTTATCCCTGTGTTTTTCCGTTTTTTACAAGTATGCCATTTTTGTTTCGTGGTGTATGAATTTGGTGAATCATTATTTGCCTTCGCCGGCTACGGCCGTGGATATCCCCGCCGCGTGTCGTTTTGTGTTTTGCCAAATGCCGTTTGGTCTAGGCGGCAACGTCAAATTGAGAAAAAATGATGTCATAATTTTATATAAATAAATAATATTTTTAAAAAATGACTTATCAAATGTTAAATAGAAGAAATATCTTTTACCAAATTAATCTTGGTAATATCACTTGATTTTATTTTATATAATATTTTCTTAAAAATTAATAAAAAATTATTTGAAATTAATATATTTTTAAATTTTTATAAAAAATAAAAAAAAAATTATGAAAATTCAATCTCATAAAAATAAACAAAAAAAAATATGGTAAGAGATTGAAATAAAAGGTANAAAAAAAAAAAAAAAAAAAAAAAAAAAAAAAAAATATGGTAAGAGATTGAAATAAAAGGTAGAGACCTTTTACCGTGGGTTTGACTTTTTCGAGCATGATTCTGATACCATGTTAAATTGAGAATCTTCATAATGAAAAATAAAAGTGGGATCAAAAGTACCGTCTTTGATGTTCACAATGTTCAAATAACTACCAACTAATACATAAAAATAAGGGGAAAATATAGACTAACTAAATTTTCAGAAAGATAAAATATATTACTAATAAAATCTAGTTAGAAATATCTAAGATATATTCAATAACTAATTACTTTAATATATTATTCAAATATTATATTTTAATAGAGAAGTTTTGGTACCATGTTAGATGAACACCTTCTCTACAATAGTATGATATTGTTCATTTGAGCATAAACTTGAGTGATTTTATTTTGGTTTCCCAAAATGTCTCGTGTTAATGGAGATAGTATTTGACAACCTCTACCTTTATAATTTTGTTTATAAATAAAAAAAATGAAATGAAATGAAAATATTAATTAAAAAAAAATTGATTATTCTATTTTCTCCGTATTTTGGGATAAAACAAGATGGATAACTTGCATTCCAGGAAAGGAAGGTCGCTTTATTCCAAGTTTCCTTCCGAACAGGAAAAGGAAATGTGTGGCAGAAGCAGTGTATGATTTTTTGTTTTTTGTTTTTTTGTTTTTTTTTTTTTTTTTTCAGATACAAAACCTCAGGAAATGATAAATTTCGTTATGGTTGCTACTAAGGCGGGCATCTCAATCTTCCATTCACTCGAAGAACCGATTTCAATCGCAGTTGGGGGCTGCTTTACGAGGTCTGTGATCTTCAATTGCCGTCGCTGCCGTCTAGTATGGGACAAGTCTTGGGGAGATTTGGAGGTAAATTGACCTAAACTTCACTTTTCAAATCCTTCGATTTTGAATTCGTTTTCATTTTTCTGTTTGGATCCGTCGATAAATTGATTAACGGAACAAGCGGAATGGGGAATGCGTAGTCGTAGAGTAGATCATACCGAGATCGATCTTATTAGTGATATGCGATTAACCTACAATTCTTCCTCGTTAACTGATATTGTCATAGACTTCAACCGATGAATTTATCGGTTTTGTTTCTTGTTTGGAGTGTTGGATTAGCTGATTTGTGCTGTCTCTTGTGGATTTGATACCGTGTCTGCTTGCAATTGAGGGAGACAAGATTAGAGACGGAGGGATGAGTAATTGAAGTATTTTAAAGCTTTTATACTTTCTGTTGCAGGAAAAGATTGGAGGATTAAGAAGTTGAAGATGATATCAAACAGGATATTCGATAAGATCAAAAAACAATCAGATAAGGAGGAGCTGTCATTTGAAGAATTATATATTGCCACGTTACTTGTGTTCAAGTAAGAAGCTCTATTATTTACTTCACATTTTTCCTGCTCCAATTTTTTTGTAGCTCACTCGTTTGTTTATTTATTTATTTACAACTTGGTGTTGGATATGACTCTTTATATTGTGTTCATGATCCATTGCTTTGTGAGAGAATTTGCAAAACCCATGGCTGACGGTCAGTAAGAATTGTAAGTTGGTTTGGCAAATTTCCGTTTCTTATTTCTTAAAACCCATGGCTGACGGTCAGTAAGAATTGTAAGTTGGTTTGGCAAATTTCCGTTTCTTATTTCTTGGTCCTCTAACTAAGAGGATAGAAATGTGTATGGTAATAATTTCTTGTTCTTCCATATTGCAAATTTTTAGACAAAATTATCACATAAAAATGATTTGTTTCGAATGCTAGGGAAGACGTGGAAGAGGGTGGATTGTGAGATCCCACGTCAATTGGGGAGGAGAACGAAACATTCTTTATAAGGGTGTGGAAACCTTTCCCCTAGCAGACGGGTTTTAAAACCTTGAGGGAAACCCCAATAGGGAAAACCTAAAGAGGACACTATCTCTAGTAGTGGATTTGGGCTCTTAGATATAATGTTTATTATACATTTTACGAGTCAAAATAATAATCTGACGTTTTTTATCGGTTCTTTTTGAAAAAATTGAAAAAAACTTGATCTTGTTGAAGAAATGAGAAACAGAAACACTTATCAATTGTCAATGTTCTTCAAAAAAAAAACTTGATCTTGTTGAAGAAATGAGAAACAGAAACACTTATCAATTGTCAATGTTCTTCAAAATCTGGTAATAGAAAACAGGAAACTAGAAAAATAAATGTGATTGAACAAGTCCTGAATTTTCAAACTGGGCTTGAACTTTGATCCTTGGAGATATCTCTTGAACATCTCAAGCTCTTGGTGATCTGATGAGGCATCTGTGAACTTGGCTTAACCTGAATAAATACTTATGATGCAGTGATATTAATAAGCTGTTGTCTGGCTCACATCATGATCCGCCTTCAAGGGAACATTTCAAACAACTCATAACGGTACTCTGTTTATACAATTTATTACAAAGCTTTAACGATATGAAAAAGTGGCATCTGTTGATGATTGGGAAAGCCTAAACTCGTTGGATATTAATGCCTAACCTTGTTCACTTTAGGTCTAATGCTCAGTAATTCTTGTTCTTTACTTGGTGCTAATGAACTTGGCTGAAGTATGGCTATCAACTTGCATGTGGTGCTGCTTGTTTTATTTTCCTATTCCTATTATATCATGTTCGTCAATAATTTGTGGCTTTATTGAATTATAGCTTCCCTGCTCTTCCTGTCGCCATGTCCTTCAAAAAAAGAGGCCACTTTTGTTAACAATTTTGTTTTTATGCTTGTTTTTCTTTCGGTTTCTTTACTATGTTTTTCATCTTCCTTAGAGAAACTAGTCAAATTTCAAAACGAAAAGTGGGTTTTCTAAAACTACTTTTTTTGAGCCTGATTATTTGATTTTTTGGTGTTAGAGTTTTTGAAAATTAAGCTTATAGATCTGTAACCGCCCAAGCCCAAACCCACTTGCTAATAGATATTGTCTGTTTTGGTTCCTTACGTCCTTACGGTTTTTAATACGCATTTGCAAGGGAGAAGTGTTCACACCCTTATAAGAAATGCTTCGTTCCCTTCTCCAACCAATGTAGAATCTCACGAGATCTTTACTTCTTTTGAGTCTTTTTTTCTTTTTAATTTTCAAAATCCAAGTCAAGTTTTGAAAATTGAAAATAATAGTGTTTTTAAAAATATGCTTTTGTTTTTAGAATTAGACTAAGAATTCAAATGTATCTTTTAAAAAGGGTTAAAACCATCGTAAATAGATGATAAGGAAACAAACATAAATTTTAAAAACCAAATAGTTATAGAATAGAACTTTAGTTTTAAGAACTTAAGTAGATAACAAAAAATATGGATGTGGAAGTAGTTTTAAGAACTTGCCAACAACTAATATGTGTAAACGCACTTCAAATGTCTGTGCTCATATGCCTGCTGATCAACTTAAGCATGCTTGTGGCTCATTGTATTATCGCAGGCACACGATAGCAACAAGAACGAAAAAATTGACAATGAAGAATTTTTTGGTTTTATGATGGAGTTGACATCTGAAACGTTCAAATCAGTGAGCCAGAAATTAGTCCTCACTTTGGTGATTGCACCAACCATCGCAGTGTTCACAAAGAAACGTACTGAAGGATTTCCAGGCGTTGGAAAACTGGTGCAAAAACTCCCCTCTTCAGCATATGCTTCCATTATCACTCTTGCTGCTGTCCTGTTTCAGAGCTCTCACCAGCCGCTTCTTAAATGATAAGTTGAGACTCCTCTGTTTTCCTTNTTTTTTTTTTTTTTTTGCATTTATGTGATTGTGAACTAATGATCACTTGAACTTCGAATTTTGTATTTGATGTATTTTGTTTCTATATGGCTGTTCATCCTTTTCTTTCCCTTCGTAGAGGTCTCTCCATTCGAACGGATCCCATCATGGTTGTTAAATCATGAGCTCCTGATAAAGAAACGAGCCGTTCTAACAAGATTTGTGATATAAATACCTTCTCGTTTTGTAGAGATATAAAGAGTTATTCTAGTGATGTCATGCTTCCATATCTCTAGAAATATCGCTACTGATCATAGTTTGATTGATTTTGATTAGTTTGAATTTTTTTTTGTCGCGTAAAATGCACTTTTTGGTATATGAAATTTGAACCTTTTTTTATTTCATCATTAGAGTTTTCAAAAATGGGACACTTTTCTCCTTGCCATTTGAATTTAACCTTTTTTTATTTCATCATTAGAGTTTTCAAAAATGGGACACTTTTCTCCTTGCCATTTGAATTTAATTTTTAATTAGTCCATAAAATTTAAATTTAATTTTTAAATGGTTGAATGGTAAAATGAGTTAATCTTTTCAAATTTGTTTTTAACTCAAAGAAAAATATATTTTTATGCTAATGTTATATGGTATGAATTTATTATTCAACGTGATTTCTATTGGATCTCCTGATGTATATAGATTTTTTTTTGGTATCAAATTCATTCCATACGAAAAATAATCGCAGGAAATCCTTTGATAACACGGATTCCTATTTCTCAATGATATCCCACAATCAAGACAATTGACTAAATCCCGTGAAACTATTTCATAGAAGTTCATTGATATATTCTTTTTATAAAGCAACTCGACTTCGATTCTTGAATAATCTATATCACTTTTGCTTCAGAAAATATAATATAACTTAAAATTAATATATTATTTTTTTAAAACGATTTATTGATAATAATATGTTTTTTATTTTTTCTAACAATAATTAATTAAATATTTTTAAATAGGATTGACCATTTTTAATTTGGTTTGTGTCCAACAAAGTAATTATAACTCGGTTGATATTTTTGTTTTCTTTAACTTTTAAATTTTTTTTGTATGGTCATTGAAAACAAGATTAAATTTTTAGTTAAATTAAATAGGAAAATTATTATTATTATTTTATAATTTTTAGAATTTAGTTTAAAATATCCAACTAAAGAAATAAACACATCGACTAAAATAATGGTTACATATATTTGAAACGATTTTTTAAATACTTCGACATGTCGTTTATCTAGTAGGATATTAAATTTTATGTGGATGAAGTTCGTGACCTTAACTTATTTATTATAATTCTTTTATCAGTCGATTTTAACTGATCACCTCACCCCCTAATGGTTACAGTGTTTATAAATCTTTCTCCATGTATAAGCAATGCAAGGACGAACAAATGTGAATTAGTCACGTGGGGGACTCTAATCGGGTCGTTCAATGTAAACACTCATTAATTATGCTTCACCTTTAATGAGACGGAACAGGAAGACTCAACCCTGAACCTTGCGCCCAAACCGACCCAAACACTATCTAATATATATAAAGATATTTAGTGGAGTATAAGTTAAATGTATAATATTACTTCATATTTATTTAACTAGAAGAACCCAAAACGTATATATATATATATATAAAAATATAATGGTCTAAGGTTTAGGGTATATAAATAAAAATATATATTAAAAAATATATATATATATATTTAGAGAATATTATATTAGAAACAAAAGAAAAATTAAAAGAAAGTAAAAATAAATAGGTATGCTGGCTCGGCTGACTCGTCAGCTGCGGACAAAAAAGCTTTAAGAAAATAATAATAATAATAATAATAATAAAAAAAATAAAATAAAAAACAAAGAAAAATTGGCTTCGCAGCTAAAGCTCTGTTCGCTCGTTTGGGAGTCAGGTCCGAGATCCTGAAACTTGCTGGATAGATCTATCAACGCCTCTCCTTTACTTCTCTCGTACTGTTTCTTCAGTGTTTTGATTGCATTTGTTAGCTCGAACATCTTTTAATTGTCGTTTTTTTACCATTCATTTTGGGAAATTATGATGTATTGGATCTGTTCGGACTTGCAGAAGTGGAAATCGACCTGATAGATTCGATTGGTGCGGTCTGAATTGAGCCTGACCTGACTGAGATCATCGCCATTGGAAGAGAAAGCTATTGGTGATTGATATGGCTGCTGGTGGTTTTGTTACTCGGGCTTTCGAGTCTATGCTTAAAGAATGTTCTGGCGGCAAGAAGTACCCGGCCCTTCAGAAAGCTATCCAGGCATTTCTAGGTCTCGTTCTCTTTCGTTTCTTGAATTTTGCAGGATCGCATTATGGATCTATCTGTTTTTTCCTCTGAATCTCTCGAAATATTTTGAATAATCGTTCTTCTTCTGCCTGGAAATGCGTTTGGGACTGTTATTTGTACTGTTTCCATTGATTTTACTCTTCAATTGGTCAATTGCACTGCTTAGTTCTCCATTGGAAATTTGGCATCTTTTCTCGCATTTGGAGTCGGTCGAGTTTGAGAATTTTGTTCGGTGTTATGTGCATTTGTATGATTTTCATGAAAATTTTCCTTACTGATGTATTCCCTCGACCGCTTTTCAGATAGTACGAAAGAGGTCAATCAGAGTCAACATTCCACGCCTGTGGAGACAATCCAACCGGAAACTTCAGCTGGAGATACCAGGTGTTTCTCCGTGAATCTCCTTTGTTCTTCGTAATTTAGCTTGTATATTTCATTTCAACATTCCAAGTATTTTCAGAGCACAAGATTTATCTGAAAAAAAGTGGATATGCGGTCCTTGTTTTTTCAATTGTTTCATTATTTATTAATTGGCTTGCACCAAGAGTTTAAAGTCACTAATTGTTCCTTTATGAAAGAGAAAAGAAGAAGTCTTTGACAGACTGGTAACTTTCTAAATCATGGTTGTTATAGTGAAACTGGAGGTGAAGCAGTTGAGTCTCCGATAGCACAAACGGCACAGGAGGCTGAGAACGAGGGCAGTAAAGTTGCTCCACGTGAACATATATCAATTGTGTTAGCGAATGCTGGCCATGTCTTGCAAGGAGCTGACGCAGAGATTATTTTGAATCCACTTCGCCTTGCATTTGACACACAGAATTTGAAAGTCCTAGAACTTGCTTTGGATTGTCTTCATGTATGTCTTTTATTTGAGTATGAAACATTAGCTTCTGATTGACGATTGTTTGTTTGGAACGCCACATTTTCTAACGATCTTTTATGAGATACGGTATATGTTATCTTAAGATCTCTCATTGTATAATTGACAGAAACTCATTGCTTACAATCATTTAGAAGGCGATCCTGGTTTAGAAGGTGGTAAAAATGTCCCTCTTTTCACTGACATTTTGAACATGATTTGCGGTTGCATTGACAATTCATCACCTGATAGGTATGTGCCGTTGCGCATGGTTAACATTTTCACACTTTTGTTATGCTCTTTTATGACCAACTATTTGCATGGATGATGTGCAGTACAATTTTGCAAGTTTTGAAGGTTCTTCTTACTGCAGTTGCATCTGCAAAGTTCAGAGGTACATTGCTATAGATAGGTGGTTATGTTTGTTGCTTAATTATGTTTTGAAAATTGGATTAGGGTTGAATGGGATTGTATCGTTTTTCATCTGCATTCTTTTGCAATATCTTGCCTTTAAGTAAGGTTTTAATGAATGGGATTGTATCGTTTTTCATCTGCATTCTTTTGCAATATCTTGCCTTTAAGTAAGGTTTTAATTATGAGGTTCTCTTCCAAGTTAAAAGTTTCATTAGAATTATGACTTATTTCAGAAGACCGTAAGCCTTTGATGGTGCATTTAAGTTATCATAAAGTCGACTTGTTGGGACTCTTGTAAAATGCACTTTTTAAACCATTAGAGGATTATTTGAGATGGGAAAATTTTTCCTCTGTAGTTCTTTGGTTAGAGTTAGCTCTGCCTGCTACTTTGGTTGTTATTTTGTGCCTTTTCTCATATATGTATTCCTCTGTTTCCTATAAGAAAATGTTAATGTATTTAGGTAGCATCTAAATATTATATAACAACATTTTCCGTAGTAGCTACAACAAGAATCTTTATGATTTTGGATTCTTTTCCAAAGCTAGGTGATCCGGATATATGTCCATGAACTTAGGTATTGACCTATGGGGACAAATTTCAAATGTTTTTGGCAATTTCTTATTGTATGTCCATGAACTTAGGTATTGACCTATGGGGACAAATTTCAAATGTTTTTGGCAATTTCTTATTGAACTTAGGTATTTTCCTTCATTCACGACTCTAGCCAGCTTGCCTCTACTCCAGGCTAAGTCCCAAGGCTCAAACATGTCTCTACTCTAGGCCAAAGTCCTTCAAACGTGATGACATATCTCATTTCATCATCTTGATTCTCGACAATGAAATGGTGTTTGCTTGATCCATGGTTTTTGATGTAGTGGATTATTATATGCTCATCAATAATTTCTTCAAAGACATGGCTATGATAATATTTGTTATTGTTTGTTTCACCATCCTTCTGGAGTGAACGATTGAACTGTAGGCTAATCTTCAAATGCTCGAGTTATATTTTTTCTTGTGTAGTTCTCAATACTTGTTTCTCCTTTATTTCTAAGTTTTAGGTTTTCTAATTTCGACTTATTCTCATCTTGAAATGCAGTACATGGGGAGCCTTTATTAGGAGTAATAAGGGTTTGCTACAACATTGCTCTCAATAGGTAGTTTGCGTTTTGGCATTGTTTGATCTCTTATTGTCAACTTAAAAAATAGTGAAAGTTGAATTATTTCCTTCTATCTATAGCAAAAGTCCCATAAATCAAGCTACTTCAAAGGCAATGTTGACTCAGATGATCAGCATAATATTTAGGAGAATGGAAACTGACCAGGTAAGCAATTTAAACCTTGTATAAATACTTAATTTGACAAGGAGAGAGACAAAATTAAGTTTCTTCTACCTTGATTGGAAACCGAGTGACAGAAAACTTGATGGACTTTCAGGTTAGTTTATCTACTTCCTCTGGGACAAAAGAATCCATCTCAGCAGAAATTTCCAGTGGGGTAGATGAAGAAAATACTGTGAGTGATGAAAATGGCAATGAGACTACACTAGGAGATGCACTTAATTCAGTTAAAGACACATCCCTTGCATCAGTAGAGGAACTTCAAAACCTTGCAGGTGGTGCTGATATTAAGGTACATATTCTTTTTCCGAAAGTTTTGTTCGGAATCTTGTGAACAATTAGTTTCTTGTTTCCTTTGTTCACCAGATTTTTGTTCCAGGAAATTTGTATTGTTATGAATTACCAAAGATCTTGTGTTGAACAGGGTTTAGAGGCCGTGCTTGACAAAGCTGTTCATATTGAAGATGGTAAAAAGATGTCACGGTATATATTATAATCTGTTTTAGATTGACTGTCATTCTAATGTAATTATAGAGAATGATACTTGGATTGCTAAACTCTTGTTATTTACATTTCAAGAGGGATTGATCTGGAGAGTGTGAACATTGTTCAACGTGATGCTCTACTGGTATTTCGCACCCTTTGCAAGGTTGGTTGTCTCTGAATTCTCTCTGCATTGTTTTGTTTATCATTTTAAGCCTCTCATTTGATTCTGCAGTGCTATGTTACAGATGGGAATGAAGGAGGACACTGATGAGGTCACCACCAAGACTCGCATTTTGTCTCTTGAGCTTCTGCAGGTAAATCATGTAGCTTGCTCAATGGTTTGGCATAAAAAATACTGTAGTGTATGACACAGTAGAGCACTGATGTCTTCCAATACTTGGTTTCAGTTCAGAAAATTAATTCAGCCTTTTAGATTACCTGCTATTTACGATGATTGGTATGCTGGTAGTATTTAGTATCATTTTGCCCATGGCTGGATCTTTTATCCTTTCAACTCAATTGATTGTTCTGATATAGAAATATAAAAGAAGTTTTTGGTTCTCTGAATGAAAGATCTATTTTGCAAAGTTCTATTTTCTTTTTAGTTTAGGTATAATTCCACAGGTTCACAGCTCTGACGTCTTTCTAGTTTAGATTTCATTACTTCGATATTTTCTTGTTTTTGTTTTTGGATAAGAAACAGCAATGGTTTATTCCTCAAAAGAAGCAGAAACTGAAACTTTGCCGCCGAAGCATCTACCTCATTCAAATTAATTCCAATCAATGAGGTTTTAGAGAGGTTCAATGAGAGCCTTGACTGTGTCAAAAACACCTCCAGAATATCTCACAAACTTTTTAGAACAGTGGTCTCATCTGGGCAGAAACATTTATTTTCTGTAAAGTTTGCCATTATTAACCTAATAATGTTACACCACTATTCATATTGTTAAATTAATAATATTAATTATCAATATTAGTAATTTTATCGAATTTTACTATTTTTTCTAATTACTTAAGTTATACAGTCATAGCATCCATACCCTTTTATCTTAAATTACATTTCTATTTGTTAATATATTTCATTTTTTTTTTGGTTAAAAATTATTTTTTCAATTTTTTTTCTGTACACAACTTTATGAAAAATCATTGTAAGGACCGCTTGGTGTATGCCAAAGGTTTGCCGCACTTGAATTACAAGAATCTTTTAACATGCTTGAATTCTGAAAGTCCTTTTTCCCCCTCACCCACTCTACATGATATGATCTTTCAGGGTTTATTAGAAGGGGTTAGTCAGACATTTACAAAAGACTACCATTTTATTGACTCCGTGAAGGCATATCTTTCATATGCTTTATTACGAGCTTCTGTTTCTCAATCTCCTTTAATATTTCAGGTGCGCACACTGAACAATCATTATTTACCATCTCATTCGAGTGAAACAAGCTGATATTTGTTTTCTGATCTTGAATTTCTCCTGACAGTATGCAACTGGAATTTTCTCTGTGCTTTTGTTGCGATTCAGGGATAGTCTTAAAGTACGTATCTTCTTTGTCCTGACGCTTAATTAAAAATTTAAACAAATTGTTTGTAAAAGTTTCTTTTAATTATATAGATGAAGTCAAAATTGATCATTTCATTTTCAGGGTGAAATTGGCATCTTCTTTCCCCTGATAGTTCTGAGATCATTGGATGGAACAGATTTTCCGGTTAATCAAAAATTAAGTGTTCTGAAGTATGACTCTCAATGACTATTTTGTTGTTCCAATTTAATTATGCTGTTCTGTTCTTTGGAATTTCATTTGTCAATTCCTTTTTTCTTTCTGTTTCCAGGATGCTTGAGAAAATATGTAGGGAACCCCAAATCCTTGTTGACATATTTGTCAACTATGACTGTGATCTTGAGGCTCCTAATTTGTTTGAACGCACGGTATGGTCCTGGGTAATTTATTTTAATTTTAAATATTTTATTTGGAGTCAAACATGTTGGTCTGTGCTTATTCTTTCTTTCCTTCTGTTATGTAGGTAACCACTTTATCTAGAATTTCTCAAGGCACCCAAAATGCTGATCCAAATTTGGCCGCCGTATCTCAGACAACTTCAATTAAAGGATCATCACTTCAAGTGGGTCTTATACTGCCCATTCTTCGATCTTGCTATATTTGTGCTTCATTTTGCATGATTACTAACCGGGTGATAACCTTTATTTTTTTCTTTACCATACCAGTGTCTTGTGAATGTGCTCAAATCATTAGTTGACTGGGAGAAGTCACGTCTTCATTCAGAAAAGCTGAGTTTAAGCATTCATTCGTCAGAAGAAGAGCCTTCAGGCAATGAAAATCTTGAGATCAAGAGCAGGGAAGATGTGACGGGAAATTTTGAGAAGGCAAAAGCTCACAAGTCCACGGTGGAAGCTGTCATTTCTGAGGTGATTGACATTTAACTTAGACTTCTATAGTTGTAAACATATAATTTTTTTAAAATCCTACTGTTGGCTGAGTACAAAATTTCTGATTTTTTTAATGTTATGAACATATTTTAGTTCGTAATTTGTAGTTTTTATCAAATACAGTTCAATAGGAAACCTGTAAAGGGTGTTGAATATCTGATTGCAAATAAGTTGGTGGCGAATACACCATCTTCAGTTGCCCAGTTTCTTCAAAATACTCCTAGTTTGGACAAGGTAGACTCTCAATCTTCCAAGAACGTTTGGTTACAATGTTGATTGACATTTCTCTAATTAAATGGCTTAACATTGACATTTGACACTTGTGATTTACAGACTATGATTGGTGAATATCTGGGTCAGCATGAAGAGTTTCCTATCGCAGTCATGCATGCATATGTAGATTGCATGAAATTTTCAGGCATGAAGTTTGATGCTGCAATTCGTGAATTTCTCAAAGGTTTTCGACTTCCTGGGGAAGCTCAAAAAATAGATCGCATCATGGAAAAATTTGCTGAACGGTATTATAGATTGCGTCAGATTCCCCATTTGTTTTCCTTTTGCTGAGATGATTCTCTTCTTCATTTTCTAATGGTAGCTAATGATATGTGTTTGTGTTGTATCCATGACAGATATTGTGCTGACAACCCAGGCCTTTTCAAGAATGCAGACACTGCATATGTTCTAGCTTATGCAGTGATCATGTTGAACACCGATGCTCATAACCCTATGGTGTGGCCTAAGATGTCGAAGCCTGATTTTGTTCGTATGAATGTCACGAATGCTCATAACCCTATGGTGTGGCCTAAGATGTCGAAGCCTGATTTTGTTCGTATGAATGTCACGAATGATCCAGAAGATTGTGCCCCTACAGAACTCCTGGAAGAGATATATGATTCTATAGTTAAGGAAGAGATCAAAATGAAAGATGACACCAGTGACAAAGCAAAAAGCCGCAGAGAGGGTGAAGAGAGGGGAGGTCTTGTGAGTATTCTTAACTTGGCTCTTCCAAAAAGAAAGTCCTCTACTGATGCCAAATCTGAGAGTGAGGCTATTATTAAGCAAACACAAGTTATATTCCGCAATCAAGGAGCAAAAAGAGGAGTTTTTTATACCTCGCAGAGAATTGAGCTTGTAAGGCCTATGGTTGAGGCTGTAGGATGGCCTTTACTTGCTACTTTTTCTGTTACTATGGAGGAAGGTGATAATAAACCTAGGGTTGTTCTTTGTATGGAAGGGTTTAGAGCTGGTATACATATTACCTATGTTCTTGGAATGGATACCATGCGCTATGCANTTCTTTTTTTTTTTTTTTTTTTTTTTTTTTTTTTTTTTTTTTTTTTTTAATTATTACTATTTCTAATTTGAATTGTGAAAATATAACCTTACACTTCCTTTTGCCAGGTTTACTTTCTTGCATGCGCCGAAGGAGATGCGTAGTAAAAATGTAGAAGCCTTACGCACGCTATTAGATCTGTGTGATTTAGAGACAGAATCCCTTCAAGACACTTGGAATGCAGTTTTAGAGTGTGCATCTCGTCTTGAATACATCACGTCAACTCCTTCCATTGCGGCAACTGTCATGTATGGATCAAATCAAATCTCCAGAGATGCTGTTGTTCAATCCCTAAGAGAGTTGGCTGGGAAGCCTGCAGATCAAGTATTTGTGAACAGTGTCAGACTTCCCAGTGACTCTGTTGTGGAGTTTTTCACTGCTCTATGTGGTGTCTCTGCTGAAGAACTGAAACAAACTCCTGCACGTGTTTTCAGCTTGCAAAAGCTTGTTGAGATAAGCTATTATAATATGGCTCGTATACGATTGGTATGATGAGTTAGAAACAATTTGTTTATTGACAACTTGAATAAGAATATCTATCTGCAAACGTTTTGGGTCATCATGTCATTCTAGTCTAATGAACTATTCACTAATTTAGTTGACTTAAGTAAACGGGCCAAATGTTTATCTAATCTTAGAATAGTGATAGGATTTTCTCCAGGATGTTCTGGTATGTTATTTGTGATCTTGAATCAATTGTGATGATAAAAGAATTTTTATATGAGTGGTGGCTGTAGGGTCTCTCTAACTTAAACGGTTATGCACGTCCAATTTCTTGCATATAATATTCTTTTTCTTCTGTCAAAACACTAAGATCCTCGAGGCGAGGGGTGTGTCTTTATTACCACCCTAATCTTTCTTTGGACTGCATAGGGACTGAATTTTTTTTAGAAAGGAACAATTTCAGTATTTGATTCTTCTTGAAAGGTTTGCAGCGTAGACTATGGCCTAATAGATTTCTGTTTATTCATGATAAGAAAAGCTTATATAGGATTTGGTCATGTATCTATTACTTTTATACATTTTCTTAGTTCTTAATGTCTGAATTTTCTACTTGTGCATCTGCCAGGTTTGGGCTAGGATATGGTCTGTCTTGTCAAATCACTTTATTGCTGCCGGGAGCCATCACGATGAGAAGATTTCAATGTATGCTATAGATTCTCTGAGGCAGCTTGGTATGAAGTACTTGGAGAGAGCTGAACTTGCCAACTTCACATTCCAAAATGACATACTTAAGCCATTCGTTATTCTCATGCGGAACAGTCAAAGTGAATCTATAAGGAGCCTCATTGTTGACTGTATAGTTCAAGTACGTCAAACAATTTACTTTTATAGAAAACTTGTAAAAACCACTTTTTTATATTTGATTCGACGGGAGGTTTCTAGCACATTTATTAGATTCTTGTTCTTTACAGATGATAAAATCAAAAGTTGGTAACATAAAGTCTGGATGGCGAAGTGTTTTTATGATTTTCACAGCTTCTGCTGATGATGAATCTGAGATAATTGTTGAAAGTGCCTTTGAAAATGTTGAACAGGGTAAGCATTTTGTTTCTGTTCTCTGTTGACAGACACTTATCTTTTGGCATATTAACTCCTCAAAATTTGAATATCTAATGTCGTCGAGATTTGCAGTTATATTGGAGCACTTCGATCAGGTAGTTGGGGATTGTTTTATGGACTGTGTCAACTGTCTTATAAGGTTTGCCAATAACAAAAGTTTCCATCGTATAAGCTTGAAAGCTATCGCACTCCTACGTATATGTGAGGATCGATTGGCAGAGGTTTGTTGTCCTCCCTTGTAGTTTGATTTGTAGTATATTTTGGAGGTATTGATAGTAATAAAACCTTGTGATGACTATGCTGATGATACTCAGTTTTGGGTTATTCAATAATTCCTCTATTCAAGTCAATTTCTCAACTGCACAGGGCCTTATACCTGGTGGTGCTTTGAAGCCGATCCATGATAGTACTGATCCAGCAATTGATATGACTGAGCACTATTGGTTCCCAATGCTTGCTGGGTTATCAGATTTGACGTCAGACCCAAGACCAGAGGTCAGAAGTTGTGCACTGGAAGTTTTGTTTGACTTGCTCAACGAGAGAGGTGCCAAGTTCTCAACGTCGTTTTGGGAGAACATTTTTCATCATGTCTTGTTTCCAATTTTTCATCATTTGAGACATGTTGGGAAGGAAAGCTTGAACTCTAGCAGTGACGAGTGGCTTCGCGAAACAAGTATTCACTCGATTCAATTGCTTTGCAATCTCTTCAATACATTTTACAAGGTATTAATTTTGGTCCTTTTCTCATCCCCTGCCCCCCATTGTTGATTAGCCTAACTCTAAATTATGCTGTTCAATTAATTGTAGTTAAGTTTTTCTGTAAACCTTTTTGAATTGATAGTTATTATTTCCTTGTTTAGGAGGTGTGCTTTATGCTACCTCCACTGTTGAGCTTGCTATTAGATTGTGCAAAGCAGCCGGAACAATCAGTGGTTTCATTGGCTTTGGGTGCTCTGGTGCACCTAATTGAAGTTGGTGGACACCAATTTAGCGAGGATGACTGGGACACGTTATTAAAAAGTATAAGGTGAGCATTACTTCTCTTTGTCCTTTTTTTTTATAAACATGAAATAACCTTCTCATTGCTAGGTAAATAAGTAAAAAACCGAAAGTTACGATTTAGTGAAAGGGCCAAAAGGTAACAAAAATGAAGTAAAAAGAAGAAAGCTAAACCCCAAATAATTTTTTTACATGTGTTGATTACAAATAAAGTTTAGCTGATGAACTCCAGTCAATGCAAACCCTAAAAGTTGTATGACATTTTGCTAATTCATACGCTTTCCACCATTTTTTTGCCTTCCCAATAATTTGATGCGAAATAGCTATGAAAATTTCTAGGGAGAATTTTTTCAAATTTTCTAGTTTATGTAATTTCATACTTTAAAGAAATTGTTTTTTACAAAAAAAAAAAAAAAAGGAAAAAAAGAAGGGAAAAAAATATATATATATACAAGACAAAAGGTATATTTATGCAGTAGATTTCATTCTTTTCACAATTTATCTTTAGGCCAAAAGAGATTTCAAATATTTTGAGAACCTTGTAAATTTTTTTTTACACTTCCCTCTTCATTTGTACATAAAAGGAAATATTGCGTTCCGGAACTGAATATGTAAAGGTGAATATTACTATTATCCTTGCAAATGTCCATTCTATTGCTTATGTTTCTGTCATTTCTCAGAGATGCTTCATACACAACACAACCACTTGAATTACTAAATGCTTTGGGTTTTGAGAACCCAAGCCATGATGAGGTGAATATTGTTGGTGGTACTTCCTTGAAGTCGGTTAGTCCACTAGAAGCAAAGAACCTTCACTTTGATGTCGGTGACCACAGAAAGGTATCTCCACTACCATCACCAAGGGTTGCAGAAATCAATACTCGGAATACCATCAACGAGTCTGGGATACAGATTACCTCGGATGAGTCTGCTGAAGGTCATTCTTTTAGATAACTCACGAGCCATGTCCCTTTGATTTCATTTTCACTTGCATAAAGTTCATAGGCTTGACCATTTTAAATTGTGTAAAAGGGATGAAATTCTTTGTATTGTAGGCCTTCCATCACCGTCAACAAGAGCTGCTGAAGCTGGAAGTCTACAGCGGAGTCAAACAATATGTAGGCCTTCCATCACCGTCAACAAGAGCTGCTGAAGCTGGAAGTCTACAGCGGAGTCAAACAATAGGCCAAAGAATTATGGGCAATATGATGGACAATATTTTTGTTAGGAGTCTTACTTCAAAAACTAAGGGAGTTGCATCAGATGCCTCTGTGCCATCTTCTCCAATAAAGGTATTGTACTTGAATATATTTCTTGAAGTTGTTTATGACTTGTTTGTAATTTACCTTATCGCATATGTTGGATAGGATTGTTCATAATCTTCTTGTTTTGAAACTGCTAATGCTAAATGTTCGAGACAATCATAATACTCTATTTGATTCACTAAAGAGATACACATAAAGTGTCGAGGTCAACCTAAGTAGGAGAAGGTAAAAAAAAAGGACAACAAAACTAATAAATTTACAAAATTACAATTATAATAATATAATAACTCTACAAAAGCTTCTAATCGACTTTCCTTTGTAATTTACAAAATTACAATTATAATAATATAATAACTCTACAAAAGCTTCTAATCGACTTTCCTTTGTACATTTCTTTCTCTTTTTCCCCATGAAATTTGGCTATTGAAAGAAAAAAAGGACGGAAATGAACTAAGAATTTTTTTTTACTTATTTTAAGAACAATTGAGGTGAAACAAGGTCAAGAACAATGAATCTCTATACGTTTTGCATGTTCATTGTTACGGCAATTCCTACCAAGGATTGGACTGTTGATGAATCTCTTTACGATAAACAAATTTGTTTTGCAAGTTCATTATTATGGGTAGTTTCTACAAAGGCTTGAATTTGTAAGTTCATTACAATGGGCAGTTTCTACAAAGGCTTGGACTATTGATGCATACAGTACTTGAATTCTCAATATGATGCTAGAACGGTGATTGAATTGATGATTAAATAGAATCCTGAGCTTGAAGAGCAATTTGATTGATGCCAAAAGAGAGTATTCTTGATTTAGTTCTCCACCTTACGACAAACAAAAGAATCGACCAAATTCTATTGAGTAAGACTCAATAATCATTTATCAAATAATGACTTTGATCATTATATGATTGAACAAGCGGAACAAGCAGAAGTAATTTACTAATGATACCTAGTTAACCTTCATAAAAATTTCTAATGATTGAGGTACTGGGATCCAGTGTAATGATTTGGCTTGAGTTTTCTTATGCAATGGTGTTCGTCTTAAAACTGAGAGGTGATAAGGAAAATAATCTGTCAAGTTTGATGTCCCCTCCATTACAGAACACCAATTGTCTTCTTCAGTTTCCTTAAAGTTTGGGGATCAACATTTCCTCGTAATTTCGCTAGCTACGATCTCTGCTCAAGTTACTGCCCCATGCTTAATCAATCAAGGACTTGTTATTCTTCTAGGTTAATCTGTATTGTAGCTTGATTTCCGTGTTCTCGATCATTTTATTCAATATGTATTTTATACCTTCTTTTTTCTAGTTTAAACATTTGAAAGTCCCAGCAGAATCTAAACACAGACGCCTGAAGACCCATCTCTTGTGTGTTATTGCATTTGTTTACATGTTTACATAACTCCATTGTAGCTTCCTCCTGACACTGTGGATCCTGAGGTGAAAGACGATTTGACGGAATTCAGGTTTGAAGTTGATTCATTTATATGCTCTTTTGGGAATGGAATTTCATTCATTTTATATATATATCCTTTGTCTCCTGCTGGTTATAAAGTGATGAAGTTTGGAAATTTACACTTAATGTGGTGTGGACCAACGGTATAAAGAGGAAGGAATATACAAAGACATACAACAAAAAAAAAAAGGATTGTATTGTTAAGTGTTCATTTTTGCATGATAATGCTGATGCATTCTTGCAGAAAAAATATTGGGTCAAGCTGAATGCACCACAAAAGATAGCCATTATGGACATTTTGTTATCTTTGCTGGAATTTTCTGCTACATATAACTCATACAACAATCTCAGACAGCGCATGCATCACATTCCTAATGAGAGGTACACAGATAAATCTACGCTTTTCCCTAAAAGTATCTATTTTTTTTGTATTGAAAGATGATTTAGTTCTTTCTTAAACAGGCCTCCACTGAATCTTTTGCGTCAGGAGTTAGCTGGAACTTCAATTTATCTCGACATCTTACTTAAAGCAACTTCAGGAATCAATACAATCGAAGCAGGACAAGAAAAAACGGTCGATAAACTGGAGGTTAAGACTGAATCAGCCAACGATGGTTTAACTTCCGCCCCAGATTCTAGTGCAGTAAACGATGTAGACGGAGTAGCTGAAAGCAGGCTAGTATCGTTCTGCGAACACACTCTTAGGGAGGCATCGGACCTGCAATCCTCTGTAGGGGAAGCCACGCACATGGATGTTCATCAAGTTTTGGAGTTACGTTCTCCCGTGATTGTTAAGGTATCAATCAATTGGCCATTTTACGTTTAAATGTACTACATAAATGTGAGATCCCACATTGGTTGGGGAGGAGACCGAAACATTCTTTATAAAGGTGTGGAAACCTCTCCTTAGTAGACGCCTTTTAAAAACCTTGAAAGTAAGCCCGAAAGGGAAAGTCCATAGAAGACAATATTTGCTAGTTGTGGATTTGGACCGTTACAATAATTATGATAGTAGAATTGTATCGTTTCTTCTTTTATGATTGATACTGTTTGTTCTTTCTACCAAAATGAAATGCATAGTTTGGGAATAATTGTCTCAATCTTTTATTGATACTGTTTGTTCTTTCTACCAAAATGAAATGCATAGTTTGGGAATAATTGTCTCAATCTTTTCCATTCAGGTTATCAAAGGCATGTGCTTTATGAACAGTCAGATATTCAGAAGACACCTGAGAGAGTTTTATCCTTTGCTTACAAAACTTGTCTGCTGTGACCAGGTATTCATTCTCCTGCAAAAAGTTTAATATTCTCAGTGATACTTGTTATTTTCTTTGCTACATTCGCATTGAAAGCTCGGTTTCTTACCCAAAAAGCCGAGCTTGTTATATTCCTTCGTGTGCAACGTTCACATTGTGGATAATCGTCGTTATATTCCTTTTTAACACATTCTTTCATTTTTCACAATGAAAGCTCGGTTTTTAACAAAAAAAAAAAAAAAAAAGGAGTCCGATAGAGTTCGAACTCTTTACCGGGTTCAAACTCTTTTTGTATTTTGTTCTTTATATTTATGAATCGTTCATTCTAATCGGTGCAATGATCATTCTGGCTTAGATCATTTTGTTCTAGGATTCTTCATCTCAATCTGTATTTGGCTGGATCATTTTGTTCCCATCACTTTTACTGGCTCTTTAGACCATTTTTTATGACCGCTATAATTTTTTCATAGTTTCCTTTCAATATTGGTTGGATTGTTGACCGTTAATTTTTTTATGACCGCTATAATTTTTTCATAGTTTCCTTTCAATATTGGTTGGATTGTTGACCGTTAATAGTTGACTTTGACCGAGTCGATAATAAATGAGAGAACATTAGAGGGATATTTCTTTTCTGATAAGTTTTTGCTCGGTTTGTTCAGATCGATATTCGTGGAGCTCTTGGTGAACTCTTCAAGATACAATTGAAAGCACTTGTGCCATAATTTCAAAACATCATTTGTTCTCAAATCTCTCAAGAAGTGCTCTGTTTAAGCATTCTTACATAGAACCAAGCTTGCACCTATATCCGCCATATATTTCATGTTCCTCAAAGTTTGAGTTCTAGTAGGAACTGCAAGAAGAGGGTTAAAGTAGAAGTTAACCACTGTAAAAGGAGGCAAACAGCAACATATTTTAACGTGGATGAAGGGAAATTGTACTGCCTCCCTGGTTTTACTGCGTGGTTAAATTAATTGGGGGTAAGATTTCAGAAATTATTCATCTCCCCAATTTTGAGATTTGAATTGATTACTTGATTATTAAAGCATTGATTTTAGTGACCTGTAATTATTCATATTAATACTCGTCTAATTTGAGTGCAAAGCTTTTGTTAGGTATCAGGTCCATGGACATAAACTATCATCGACGAAGAGGTCAGGAGTTCGAGTTCGAATCTGACTAAATTAGTAAATTTTATTAGCAATAACGGGTTGATTTTAAGATGATTGAAGGGTGACTTTAAGATGATTTTAAGATAAAAGACTTTATATTCGGCTCTTTTCAAGTTAAATTTAGACTTTTGAAGTTTACTTGAGTGATATGTTATCCACACTCAAGTATGTTAACCTAGCTTTTATAACTATTTTTGGACTTTTTCTTTTAGTTTCGCTAAAAAAATTCAAGCTTATTGTTAGCATATATTATTTGTTTTATCTCATTATGTGAACTACTCTCGTGGGGCCTAGTATCTATGTTGGCACACCGTCTAGTGTTTGACTATAATATCTTTTATAATGACTCAAGTACACACTAACAAATATTATCTGTTTTTGCCTGTTATATATCGTTATCATCCTCTTAATTTTAAAATGCGTGAATAACTTTTCACACACTTGTTTTGTTCCCTCTCCCACTTTAAAATGCGTCAAAAAAATTTCTAATAGGCTTAGGTTCGTCATCTACAAGGATTTTTAGTTGTATTGCTACAATTATTTCGATTAATATGTAATTAAATAAGACACAAGATATTTAAAATATAATTTGTTTACTAAAATTGTAAGCAAGTCTTTTCACTTTTTTTTTTTTTTAATTCCAACCCGAATGTCTTTAGGAGAGACATGAAAAGATTGATCCAGAATTTCTATAGTTTTTTATTTTTCTAAAAATATTTAAAGACATTAACAAAAGAATTAATAAATGACCATTTTTTAAAAATGTACATTTAAAAAAATAATTTTAGAGAATTATTGAAATTAGAAAAATAATTTTGATAAAAAAAAAAAAAAAATTGAGAAGAAATTGAATGAGCTTAACATCAATCAACGCTTCAGCGCTACGAGTTTTGGCAGTAGTGAAGAAACCCACGTGGATAATGGATATAAGCCGAAACAAACTGAGACACAGAAATCGAAGAAGAACGAAGAAAACAAAGGCTTCCTGTCCAGTCACGTGTATATATATATATATATAAGAGAAATTGTCCTAGAACCTTCCCTTTGTTCAACTGATTCCATCGCCATATATATATATATATATAAGAGAAATTGTCCTAGAACCTTCCCTTTGTTCAACTGATTCCATCGCCAAACCTCTCTTTCAGTAACCTAAACCCTCGCCCAGTTCTCTCTCCGTTCTATTACTCGTCTTCGTTCGTCGAAATCCGCTAGTGCTTCTCTGCAATCTGAGCCACTCCAATAAAGTGTTTCTCTCTCCGTTCGATTACTCGACTTCGGTCATGAAATCTGCATGAATTTTTCTTCAATCTGAGCCACTTCAATTAAGTAATGTATAGAAGCAACAATGTGGCTGCTAGGATCTTCGATCGCCAAATCGCCACTCCTCCTCCTGGAACCAGCGTAAGAACTACGATTCTTGTACATGCTTTTTGTTTTGATCGTTTTCTTTATTCTCGTTCGTCTTAATTTTTGCGGCTTTGTTTTTGTAGTTTCATTGTGTTAGGCGATTCTATGAGAATATAGTTCCGAATCATACGGTTTACGACGTTGAATGTCCGGACCATTCCTTTCGCAAGTTTACCGTATATAGTTCCGAATCATACGGTTTACGACGTTGAATGTCCGGACCATTCCTTTCGCAAGTTTACCGTTGACGGTCAATACCTAATTACGTTCAGCAGGAATCATCGCGATTTAAATGTTTACCGCCCAAAATGGCTCTCGTTTTCTTACAAAGGAGATGAAATTGATACGTTTCTAGACTTTCCTTCCAATGCTCAAATGGCTCTCGTTTTCTTACAAAGGAGATGAAATTGATACGTTTCTAGACTTTCCTTCCAATGCTCAGAAGTTTGAGAGCTTTTTCAACCTGATTTATTCCGTCTCCCTTGCGTCCTGCAACGAGCTTATCTGTAAGGACTTCTTTATTTACATGGAGAGTAACCGATTTGGGCTTTTTGCTACCTCCACTGCTCAAATCCAAGATGCTCCGGCCGTCGGTGGTGCTGTTCCGGGAATTCCTTCTATAGACAAGATTACGTTTCATCTCCTGAGGTGAGTACCTTTTTCTTTATGTATTACGGTTTGATATAATTTGTTGATAGTGTTTTTTACGGAGTTTCTCTCTGTATTCTAACTTCCAAACATGTGATAGACTAGAGGATGGAGAAATTCTTGACGCGAAGGTGTTTGTCAACGATTTTGTGAATTTGGCTCACAATACGGGCGTCTTTCTCTACGATGATCTATTGGCGATTGTATCGGTACGCTACCAGATTATACATATTCTTCAAATTAGAGATTCCGGCCACCTTGTTGATGTACGAGCTCTAGGCGCTTTTTGTCGTGAAGATGATGAACTTTTTCTCCATTCTAGCACTCAGGCGAGTAACATTTCTAGGCGCTTTTTGTCGTGAAGATGATGAACTTTTTCTCCATTCTAGCACTCAGGCGAGTAACATTATGGTTCATGCTTCTTCAGTAGTACTAATTGCTCCGCTCTATATGAATATTTGCATTTGTCTAGTTGAAAGATAATATTTAACCTGTAAACCTTCTCTATGGTTTACGCTTCTTCGTGTATTTGTCTTCCGTCGGCGGATGTTATATACTGTTGGTCAATTTATCATCTGATTTCTGTTCCTTCGATTTTGTAGCTTTCTAGAGGCGCTTCCTGTATCAGCTGCATGTTTCTGTTCTGGATTGTGCATGTTTGGCTGCTTTTTAGTCTCTTCCCTATATTTTTATTCCGAAGATGATGAACTTCTCATTTTCTAGCGCTCAGGCGAGTTAAATCACCTACTTACATTCTGGCTCATGCTTCCTCCAGTTGTCTAGGGACTGAAGTTTCAGAAGAACATAATTCTTAATTAGACTTGCTTTGTTTATTTGAACGTATTCTTTGACTAGATAAAAAACAATAAAGAAATGTTAATCATCATCGTTCATGTTTCCTGTTATTAGCATCTCTCTTCGTGTACTTGTATTCTGTGGAAATTTGAACCGTTTCTTCACTTATGTAATTTTCTGGAAGCACTGCAGTCGTATAGGTCTCAAATTGTGCATGTTGGACTGCTGTTTAGTCTCTTTGCTAATTTTTTTGGACCTGGTTGAGTTGCTGCTCGTAGCTCATTAGCATTCATATGATAGTTTATGCCTGCTACTTAGCGACTCCATTAACTGAGTTCACCCTTCCCTCGGTGTATGTATGTCATTTGTTCCTACATTCCATCCATGGAACAATTGCATATGAATTTTCAACTTATTAATGACAGTATGTGGGGGTAGCTGAAAGAAGCAGATTGCTTGCGGGTGATGTTGAGAATGGCTACCATCATAGCCCGTCCAATGACAATTCTTTTCTGAGTGGCCTCAAACAGCGGTTGCTATCATTTATTTTCCGCCGAATAGGGAACGAAGAAACAGATCATCGCTTGGTTGGTTATATGCGACTTCTAAATCCCAGTTCAGCCGTCTCTGTCTTGATTTTCGTCATATTTTACGTATTGGAATTTTTGTTCAGGCATTCATTTGTTTGGCTTCTCTGTTTCTTTTTACAGAGAGTTCAGTGTTTGGCGAAGAATTTCTACTTTCATTTTCAAGACTACATCGACTTGATTATTTGGAAGGTAGAATCTTCACTTTTTGTTGGAATACAATCATACAATCCTTTCCTTGTATCTTTTTGTGCTGACCAAAGTTCTGAATTGAATTGCATATCATAATCCTTCCCTTCTATCATTATTTTGTGTTCTATGCACGCATGATGTGTTACAAGTTGTTTACAGAACTCCTGACCAGGTACAATTCTTGGACCGTCGACACTTACTGCTCAAGCTTGGTAGTGTAGATGGATGGGTGAGTTCTTTTTTCTCGGTCAGTCGTCATTTCATAATAGGGTCTGGGTAAACCAAAACTTTAAAAAGCTGTTAGTACTATCCAAATTGAACTATTGCTACTAAGCCTACTTTAAAGAAGCCTAGATAAGTAGGCTTGCTTGTAATTCGCACCTGCAAATTTATTTTCAAGATTGATGACAAAAGACTATAATCTTCGACTTCCCAAACTCATGAATCTCATGGCTTTACTTTGGGCTTCCTCAAAAGGCCTCGTTATCAATAGAGATAGTATTCCTTGATTATAAACCCATGATCATTCCCTAAATCAGGCGATGTGGGACTTTCATCATCCAACATCTCCCCTCGAACAAAGTATGTCTCCCCTCAATCGGGGCTCGACTCCTTTTTTCTTTTGGAGTCTTAGTCATTTTTTACTATGACTTCGGGGAGACTCGCCTCCTTTTTCTTTTGAAATCCTTTGTTCAACATTTGAGGATTTACCCATCTATTGACACGATTAAGTTATGGGTATGGCTCTGATACCATGTTATATAAACACGACTCTCCACAATGGTATGATATTGTCCACTTTGAGCATAAGCTTTCATGGCTTTGCTTTGGACTTCCCAAAAATGCCTCATTAACAATGGAGATACTATTCCTTAATTATAAACCCATGATCATTCCAATTAGCCGACGTGGGACTTTCATTATCCAACAAAGTACACTAATTGTGAACTCTGTTACAACTTTAATTGATGCTATAGCCCTCACGTTTTCATGAGTTTGTGATTATCATAGCTCTCTTTCTTGGAAATTGAGGGACTAATTTTTCTTTACATTATTGATAAAAAAATTACAATATTTTTTTATTCTTACATTTATAGGTTTCACGAATGGCCGATCACCACCGGGCATTTTTTGCTGTGTATGACATGGAGACCACTGAAATTGTTGCTTTTTTTCAGGTGTTTGTTTGCTTCCCAGTCCTCCCTTTCTACACTTTTTGTTATCAAGTATTTTCCCCTTCATTTCTAATTCATACCATACTTCCTCCAGAATTCAACAGACGACATTTACTTTCTTTTCGAGCGTTTTTGTAATCACTTCCATGCAGCATCAAGAAATTCATTGTGCTTGAATTTCATATCATCACACTCCAATAACATTCATGCTCAAGAACAACTGAGAAGCTTGAAAAATAAAGCAGTCAGCTATTCACAGGTGAACCTTGTTTATACATTTTTCTGTTTCCCTTGCCATTTGCATCTGTTATTTTCACTGAATCTCATGCATAATTGACTCTCATTCACAGTTTGTGAAGAAGATGCTGGTATCTTTAAGGTTAGTATTTCAACGTGTTTTCTTTTCTATTTATTTGTTTTTGAATGTTTAATTTAAGTAACTAAGTGCTATAGTATTCATTTGGCGCACGTAGTTCAATCTCTTGAGACCCTCAAATGGATTGGAGAACCATTTGAAGTTTTAGTCTTTTCTAAAACAAAATTAAGTTTTTAAAATAATAGGCCCATTCTATAACGTTCTATATCGTTGTTGTTTATAGTTTCCTGTTCTTGAAATATGGGCTTATTTCCTCCACATGTTTTCATCACCCTAAACTGAATTCCTAGTCAAATTCAGTCAGAATACCAAAAATAAAACCAGTTTTTAAAATATGCTTTTCCTTTTTTTAGTTTTCAAATTTTAGCCTAGGTTAGATTTTGTTAACAAAATTTGGGATTTCTTCTGTGAAAGTACGATTATTAGCTTAATTTTTAGAATAAAAAAATGAAACAAAATGATTATGAGACCAAGTAATTTTGTGGATTTTGGTCTATCTTTTTATGCCCATTTATAATCAAATATCGTACAAATTTGTTCTTCACATATAATTTTTTTAGCCACATTTATTTTATATTAAAAATGTTTTCTTTCTATTTTGCTACTAAAATACGATATTTTTTATTCACGGGTCAGTAGAGGCGTGGTTGGTTGATGTGGAAAGTTCGTTATTTTTTGGAAGCAAAGGTTGAAAAAGTAAGAGATAATTTGAAATTTTTGGTGAGAATTTAACACAAAGTTTTGTGTTAAACAGTTGATTTCTGCAACGGATAATTTGAAATTTTTGGTGAGAATTTAACACAAAGTTTTGTGTTAAACAGTTGATTTCTGCAACGGATCGGCACAGACAATCAACAGATCATCCTATAAAGTTTATTTTAAGGCGATCACCTTATTCCCTCAGATTCAAAATTAAATCAGGTATTATTATCATCACTCCCCTATCCTCGTCTTACTGGGTCCGTTACTTTCACTCGATGGTTTATTTTTAAGTAAATTGTGTCAAGTAAAACATTTTTTTCAAAGTATATTTGGGAAAAGCACTTCGTTTCCTTTTTTTTTTTTTTTTTTTTAAGGTTCCGGAAAAAGCACTAATTATTTACAAATTTGTGTTTATTTCCGTATCTTTGGGAGGTGGGGTGGTTTGATAAATAATTCCGGTTTTCAACCTCTTAATTTTCAATGGCACTTTTAAATTTAAAAGATAAAGGGTTTTTTAATGTTTTTCTCTTTCTCTAATTCTCTTTTTATAATGCACTCTTTTTAAGGGTTCCATTTGTCCTGTTTTACACCGACCTTTTCTTTTCTTTTTACGAGTTATTTGAGAAAAACAAAATTAGGTTATAATTTTAGTTTTAGTTTGTGTCCAATATAAGTTTTGAAATTCTAATAAATCTTTTAAGCTTTTAATTTTATGTTTAACAGGTTTTTGAAATTTTAATTTTTTATTTAATAAATTTTATATGTATTTTGATATTTAGAAGTTGACCTATTATTAGCACAAAATTTTAAAATTTTAACATAAAATACAATAAAATTTATAATTTTATAATTTTGTACTAATAGGTTTGTGAATTTCAAAATAACAATTTTGTTTTGACATAAAACTGAAATTTTTTTAATCTATTAAATACAAAATTAAATGCTTTATATCTACTAGATTTTTTTTTAGAAATCCAAATAACTTATTGGATACAACAAAAAAGTTATAAAAATTGAGTATACAAATTTAAAAAAATTTCGAGGAAATGTTGCTAACGAGGGTTGAGTGATTGGAATAGGTCCAGAACGTGGGATAACAGATGGACGAACAAAAGGGGTGTCATCTTTTCTTTTTCATCCTTTTTTACCGCTCGCTCTCTCCATCCAACACACCACCTACTTGCTTCCTTCTGTGGTCAATATTCACTTCCGGATATGAATATAGAAAGAAGAAAAAAAAAAAAAATTGCGTTTTAAAACACCAAATTGTACATAAAAAATAAATTAAAAAGAAAACTATGTACATCGTATAACCCTGTACATGCACCTACTTTTGCGAGTCATTTATATGATGCGACTTTCTCATACCTTAATTTTGATTAATGATTTTTAAACTTCTTCATCCCCCAAAATTCCCTCTCTTATCTTACTAAGGATTTTAGTAACATGTAATCTGGTGGTTGTAGTAATTGTTGGGATTATAACTATATTTGGTTTTAACTATTGGGTTACATTTATTATTAGATACTCTACTAATAAAATTAGCACTATTGCGGCAAGGACTTTCTAATAAACACACTTCCTTAAATACAAAAAATGCAAGCATAGAAATTTATCATATACTATTGAAAGTTCAAACTTATAATTTGATTTGAGAATTATTTGTATAAAAATATATGTTTGTAAAATATATGATATATATATAAAGAATGCAAAAGGAAATCGTTTTTTAGAAAATGAAACTATTCTTACTAATTTACAAAATCCACTTGGATGAACTCAGGCAAGCGGAGATCTTTCAGAGTGGTACAAATTAGTAATTGACATGTTCCCACGAAAGTTTTATATGAATAAATAAGTTTCAAAATATAATGCCTAAACAAATTAAAATTTACACCAAAATTTAAACAAATAAATAACTACTCTTTTAGGTTTCAAAACTCTACGAAAGTTTAATAACAAAACAAAGAAATTAGTAAGATTAATACTATAAACTAAATTTTTTTTAAAAAAAAAAGGCTATCAAATATGCTTTAATTATGAGATTTCAAAACTTTGTGTACTATAGTTTATGATAAGAGTTGTTCTATTCCACCCATCACGTCAGGATAAAAAATGGGAAAAAAAAGTTCCATCCGAAAAAATAAAAATAGACGTCTACTTAAAGATAAAAGCAACCACATTACCTGGAAGTCCAATCGCACAGCAAGTGCTCACTTAAAGATGCCAACCGAAGAAATTGAACCAACAAACAAATAAGGTAAAGAACAGTGATGGATTCATATTCTAGATTCTAACCATATGATGGGATGGGGATTATGACTGACGATGACAAATACTGAAGCATTTGGCAACAAAATTCAATGCCGCCAGGAATTAAAAGAAAAAAAAAGTGTGCAAGGACATTTTAGAAATGAGGAGCTCCTCATTATGGCCTTATTTTATTAGGCTCCTAAAACGAGACATCTTTACTTGGCAATTTCTTTGTTTCTCTGCTCTGTTCTTCTGGAGTAAGTTTGTAAGCGTCCTTGGGTATTTTGCTCATGGTTTATGATGTGACCTGAGCGTTCCTTTAATGTTTTTCTTATATCTTTTGCCGGCATTACGACTTAACTTGCCGCCATTTTGGGTCCCATATATGACTATAAATAACCTAATTTACTGTGTCATTAAAATTTTAGATGATTAATAACTTGAGAGCCATAAGTCCTATCTTTTGGTAATTTTGTTCTTAGTGTTGCAAACCTACAACATTCTGTAAGAGCTCGAGTTTATTGCTAGCAGATATTGTTCTCTTTGAATTTTTCCTCTAAAGGCTTCCCCTCAAGGTTTCTAAAACGTGTATGTTGGAAAGATGTTTCTACACTCTTATAAAAAATGTTTCATTCCCCTCTCCAACCAATGCAGGATCTCACAATCCACCCTTCTTTTGGGGCCAACATCCTCGCTGGAAAACCATCCGGTGTCCGGCTCTGATACTATTTGTAACAGCCCAAACTCACCGTTAATAGATGTCATCTTCCTTGAACTTTCCGTTCAAGGACTGCATCTCAAGGTTTTTAAAACACGTCTATTAGAGAGAAGTTTTCATTCTCTTGTGAGAAATGTTTCGTTCCCTCTCCAACCAATATGAAATCTCACAAATGCAAACAATCAACTACTTGTACAAATCTTAACTAAGAAACTTGTTTTCTTTTCTTAGACCATTGATCACTACCTGCTTCAAATCTTCCTAAATTTTATCATCAGTTACTTAGAGAGTTCATAATTCAGTCATATAATAGGGTAATGTGGACGCTGGTCAGGCAGGTGCCTTAGTTTTTATATTTTCTGAAGGCTTGCCACTAGTGTGTGTTTTATGTTATTATTATTCTTTTTTCTTTTTTCTTTTTTCTTTTTTCTTTTTTTCCTTTTTTAAAAAAGACCCCTCTAGATTGCAAAAGAAGTTTCCAATATTACAACATTAGGGCAGAAAAGCTCTAGATTATAGCCATTTATATTGAACTACATCACTAAAGGCAAAGCCTACTTAATAGCAACTAAATATAAACAATAAAAGCAACAACCAAAAGTTAACGATCAAAATGCATTTGCTGTGCGAATAGGAATAAAGTCTCCATTTTAATAGAACAAAGACAGCGAAGACAAATTTCTTTCCTCCATTTTAATTCTAGAGAGATTATTTTGATGAAAAAATATTAAGCAATATAAACATGAAACGGATTTATGCCCGACCGTATCACTAGCATATTCTAAATGCATTTACTTCTAGCTAATATCACCTATATGAACTTTATGCCCCCATGCTATTCCCCCTTTTTTTTCTTTTAATTTTTTTCATCTGTGAAAAGCAGAGCAGACAAACAAATTTACCAGAGGTAAGGAAATGATGCTTCTGGGAGAGGGAAAGAGAGGAAGAGCTTCAGAGATAAATTACCTGGCGTATGCTCATCTCTTTGTCCATCCAGTGACCCTTATATTCCAGATTGAACAGATATTCTAGCAGCATCAATCCAATGCTCCTACTAATAGTCATCGCCGTCACATCTATATACTCAAAATAATTTGAATACATATACACTAGGCAAGTGATCAAATGACCTGTTTAACACATCAACCTCTGAAATGGCATGCACGCCCGCCTTGCCCTTCGTGTTGATTGCAATTTGCCTACTATAAATCATTTTCGTCATCCATATATTTGAATCCATGGATATTAGGTAACACATTTACCTCCGAAATATTATTTTCCTGCATTGCATGTGTTGCCACAGATGATTTCTTGATGTCGTTGATACACAACACCAAATGCACCATAAAAGCATCGCCTATGACTTATTCTTCACAAGAAAAGTTTCATTGCTAGATGGTAAGTGACATGTTAGTGATAAGGGAACAATAAGGAGCATTATTTCGAGTTGTTAAAAACATCACCTAAACATTTGGACTCTCTTCACTAAGAAGTTTCTAGACCTGTGAAAGAGAATAAACGCTCTGCATTTCTATAACTCAATTCAGCAAGTTCTTCTTTGCTGATGTCCAACAAAGATGCAACATAAACAAGGACCTGCGTAGAGAAGAACAAAGGATGAAATATGTTACAAAAGATGATGGAAATTGAACTAACCTAGAGCCATACGGACTCTTAATTTTAAAAACCAGACAAGGTCAGCATGTAATTTAATTAAACAAAGAGGAAGATGGCAGCTGAGGCCAACTCTACCTCTCTATCCCTTCCCATGTTGAAGAGTAAGAGAAAGTTTATACTCATAGATTTAAATAATAGTCAAGCTAATGTTCCTGGTTATAAAATGCTACTATGATCAGCAGAGAGCTGTTATGCTAGTTTTCTTTAAGCTTGTTGATATATGGAGCCATGCGTTGCTAAGTTGTTAGACCAACAGTACATGCCCCTTGTACTTCTTAATGATATTGAATGAACGTAAATATATCCATCAACCAGATATAAGTGAAAGATTCAGTGAAGTACATTTTGGATATTTGCTGGATGATTGAGAGTCCCTTTTGGCAGTGTCGATGCATCGGTGGAAGAACCAGGCACTGTACTTTGTTGTGAGCCTGTTTGGGCAGCAGATTGTTCTTGGGTCTTCAGACATTCGGGAAGAGAAGGATCGCCTTCAACAAAATAGAGGGAGTCTACCTTTGACTTAGGAAGTGCATCAGGCGCATCAGTTTCCAACAAAATCCTATCCGAGGGCACCTGGAAAAATTCATGATGTTACAGATGAAGAGAATTTGGGGGGTTCATTTTTTCCGATGGTGCAGCCTAGATAGAAGTTTTATAAGTTTTCAGTTATACAAGCCAGTAAGATGAGATTCTTTTGACACGCTGGCTTTCGGAAGAATATTCCAATCCACTCTCTTTATATCCTTGTTTTCCATGCACATATCTTATCTTTTACATGCACACACACATACACCACGATTGTCAAATCTATATATATATATATATATATAAGAACTGACCATTTTCAGCATTTTCTTTGCCTTCTTTGCCTCCATGGACATGAGAAAACCCGAAAATGAGAAGTAAGCACCTAGCTTGGTGAACTCAGGAACCATCTGAGCAGATCCAAGATAAGAGTGCAGAATGAAACCAGCAGGAAAAGGTCCCATAGATCTGAGGCAATTGCAATGACAGAACAAGGCATGTAAACCAATCAATAATAGGGGACATGACTGATAATGGCAACGTCACATGAACGACAAACATATAACTATTAGAAAGTCTCATACTTCATTATCTGAAGGAGATCACCAAAAGCACGTACACAATGGATGGATGCTGGTCTTTCTAAAGACTTGGCAAGCTCAAGTTGTTGCCGGAAGACCTCAACCTGCAGTATATTTTATGTCAAGAACAGTTTGGGGATCATTAAAAAGAAAAAGAAAATCATTGCAGTAGTGAAGAAAAATCTGCTTCTTACACCACTTACAATTTCTTTTTGACAGGTAAACGAGAAACTGAGCAAGACAGAAAAAATGTATAATGGTCACACCTGATCTATAAAATTGATTTCCTTTCCTTTTGAACCTTTGTCCAGACCAATCTGAAAATGTAAATATTAGAGCCCTACTGAATTTAGCAATCTACTAAGAAGATATATCTACATGTTGAGACAACAAATTAATCATTAAAATCCTTGAGTAACCACCCTAGATCCTACACATAGTTAAAGGACAAAAATAATAAAGTTGAGGTTAATTCAGGAAGCACGTCATAAAAATTATTGTACGTACAAAAATATGCATGATCAAGAACGAGAAGGCACTAGTAACATGCAATAGCAACAAAGGTTCACTATAAGTGTCTGTCACTTTCTCTGTCCACAAAAATAGTCAACAATGATGATTAATAATTTCAGATTCTCAGAAATCACCCCAAAACATGCTCTTAAGCTGGTTCCAGAAATCAAGCTAGATGAATAAAATAATTCTCCGGCAAAAAGAATTCATCCGATTCCCAATTTCTTCTCTCTTTTTGCCTGTGTTTCATCTAAAAATAAAACTTAGAACTTCAATTCATGATAAAATATCCGAAGATCAAATTGGTCTTCCAGGATATAGCTTCGGCCATGAATACCAACCTCTCCAACTGCTGCGGTTGGTACTGCTTCAAAAAATTCCTTAAGTTTTTCTAGCCAGCCAGTAGTTCTTTCAGGAACACACCTAAATACAGCAAGCTGGATGTATGTCATACAATATACTTCACCAATACGTGGTAATGGCAGTAAACTGATACGGATTTCTATGTAAACTTTGGGGATGTGAAGTATGCAAATGGACAGTGGTTACCAGGGATGAAGACCAAAGGATGGAATGATGCAAGGATGTAATTCACTCAGCTGCTTCACCAAATGCCAGTCTTTCTATGAACTCAGAAACAGAAGAAGATGAGAGGCAGGCAGCACATATTCCGAAAACAATATATATAACAGAAGATGCAAAACTGTTGTACCTCAGAGATTCCATTGACAGCAAAACGCAGAACTCCAGAATCCACTGCTGTGCTAATTAATTGAGGTGCTTTATCAAATATTCTTGGATCTTGGAGATGACAATGTGCATCAAATAGTCTCAGTGTGGCAGATAATTTAGACATCCCTGCGTATACAATGGGAAGAAGATTTTCTTCGAATATCAACAAAAGAAGTTCAACTTAAAGGTTCTTCAAAATGTAATTAATATTTTCAAGAAAATGCACAAGGACATTCCTCTTCAGAGTAAACCGACAACCTCCTTGACATATAGCTTTAAGAAATTGGAAAATCAGCAGCAGAAAAAACATCAAGAAAGTAGCACAGCAAGAGCAGTACCTTCAATCTCTAATTGTAAAGTATTTCAACTTAAAATCCAAGAGCCTATATCCATTTGTATTTAATACTTCATAATGTAATTTATCACGTCGAGAAAAAGCGTAGAGCGTGAGAACATTTCCTTCTCAGAGAAAACCTAAGACTACCGCTTCATATGAATATTTAAGAAATTAAAGAATATCAGCGAGCGAGCGAGATACATACGAAAAACCGCGACCGCGCAGCAAGCGCAGTACCTTCGTTACGCAATTGTGATGGATTTCAACTAAAAAGCCTCTTATATCCATTTCAATTCATATCTTCGTAATATAAATTATCACATCGAGAATGTGCGTCAAGAACATTTCCTGCTCATAGAAAACCTACAACTTCATTTACTACAGACGATTTAAGAAACTCGAGAGCGATAGAGACAAAAATCGCAAAGCTACACAGTGCCTTCGTCATCCAATCATGAGAGTACTAAGAACGAATCGAATCATATAAACGAATCGAAAACGCGATCAATTTCGAAACGAGCAGAATGTTGCGTCCAAGTAAAGATCCAATTCAGGCGTCTGATTTAAACAAACCGTAGCGAATAACATTCAAACAAGAACAGCGAAAATTAAATTGCAATAAACCTGAAGCCGATATCGGAGACCGGAGTTACGAATACCTCGTCGGCCGATGGATCCAGAGCTTCGTTTAAGAAACCGCCTTAGCGCGCGCTTACAAAGCTGCCGCGAAGTTCACCTCGATAACCAAATAATATAATGTGAAACATTTTAAATGGGCTTTTAAAAGGAAGAGGATAGGAATAGGATTAAATTTCAATTCGGTACCCGACTTTCTTTATTTTTCTATTTTGACCCCAAATTTTGACACATTTTTAATTATTAATTTCAATTTAATTATTTTGATCATTTCTTTATTTTACCTTTAACAAAATATATATATATATATATAAGCGTATATATTTTGCCATCAACATTATATTATACAGAACCAGACAAATTTAGAGAGGAAAAATGCACATAATGCTCACGTGATAATATACAAATAGATTTGTTCGAAATAAATAATGCAGCCTGCAAAAGGAGAAAAGATTGCATACCGTAACTCTAATGCTTAGCTTAGCTAGGAGTTTTAGGAGCGAAACAAAAAATTTACCTCGTCTTGATTGAAGTCGATTCAAGACAAATGTTTATACGAGAACCCTTTATAGTTTCTTACGTTTACGTTTATTTGTTTTTTGGTGTAGCTCGAGTTTTATGAATGAAATAGGCTAACCCCATCTTCAACCAAAGTTTGTATGATAACCCTTTATAATTTTTTATATTTACCGTTCTTCTATGAATAAATTACAAATGAACTAAATGAGGATGAACCAAGATGTCGGGAACCATGCATAACGCATGTCTACGTGAAAAGTTAACTATATAGTCATCATTGACCTCTCAATGAGATCGACTAAAGAGTTTGTTGTGATAAATTATTCTACTATTTTGATTCATGGGTCGACCCTTTTACATGGGTCGAATTTTGTTACGATTTATGACCTTTTAAAATTATAAATTAATTCTTCCAATTTTTTATTTTTATTAAAGGTAAAATTAAAATTTTAAAATTTATAAAAATTTAAGGTTGGGTAGTGAGAAAATTTAAATTTATATAATTATATAATTATTTTTTAAAATTTTCGAGAGATCAGTTTAGAAATTTAAAACACGGAAAAAATTAAAACTTTATTTACCTTTTCTGATATTTTCTAACTTCGCAAGAAATCATGAGAAACAGACAAGGGCAAATAAGTAAATTCCCAAAACCTTATCGAGAAACTGAAAAGCATAGAGCTTGCGCGCATTCGCACGCACTCTCTTCAACCCTAACAGAGACGGCGGTGGAGACGACGACGACGACGACGACGACGACGAGGATGCTTCTCCAAACTTCCGTTCACCACTACAATGTCTCTCTCTCCTCTTCAACTTCTTATTCGCATAAATTGCCGCCTGTAATTCAATCTCAGGCTTTTTTCCGGAATGTAAATTATCGGAGGCTTCCACTCTCTATAACCTGCTCAATTTCCCAAACTCATAGCTATGGAACTGTGG